TTTGCCCCCCCCCTTGGGGGGTTTAAACCCCCCCCCCCCCCCAAACCACTCTTTTGCAGTCTTAAATATGATGGCGATGAACTTTTATCCTGAGACGACCACAAACACACTCAATAGGGCACTTTAAAGTATATTTATTATGTACTTGAAATCCATACCTCCGGTGTATGTGGGAAATGCCTTTTGATTAAGTGGTTTGTCTTCCATCTGTTTCAACATTGTTGAAAAAACACTTGGTAAGAGATTTGGCAAAAACCCTAAGGTCGAAGCACTGTTCAGGTTTTTCCTCATACCGGAAAAAGATGGAAAATAAAACTAAATCCCTAGTAAACTGGGAAAATTAACACAAGGAAGTAATAAGCATATAGTAGGACACATGTTTCTTTGGAAGAACCCGCATGCCCAGACATCTCTTTTTTTCTTTTTTTTTAATTTATGTTGAGGAAATATTCTGATACTGGTGTAAACAACAGGTCATGTGTGTGCTGTCTGACTGTCTGTGTGTAAAAATAATAACCTGTCCAGTGTTGTTCAGTGTGTGAGATTCTGAGTTATACATCACTGGATCCCATACGTCCATGTGTCTGGGATGTTGCCCAAAAAGCTACAGACAGAAACAAAACAGAACAGATCCAAAGAAAGTTTTGACACTGATTTATTAACATTGATCAGAATAAACAATCTCTGGCAGACAGCAGCAGGTATACATCAGTGTGTTGTAAGGTCGCACACTCAAGGTGGTTTAAAACCCTTCATTGTGATATTCACATACAGGTTTCTTGTTTTAATTTTTAATAGACACTTTCTGACCAAAGAAGTTAAACAAACTGATGTGATTCAATCCTAATAAACCAAAACATGATTTAAACCACTGATATTTGAACTCTGGTTAGATTCCCACGGAGGTGTGTCTCATTCTATCTAGTGCACTAATTCTTTACTGTAAATAGTGTCTGTTCTGAGTCATTAAGAGTTGTCGTTGTCTTTCGTAAGGCTTGATTCACCTGTGCTTCACAGCTTACCTGTTCTGACATCATCACGGTGACCTGACGTGATAGAAAGACTGCTTGACAACTATTCTGATGTTTGTTTGGTAAAAACAGTCAAGTGTTGCCCCGCGACCAGTTAAACATGTTTGTGCCACTGATTACATGAAGTTGAAGAGTGTAGTTGATGCTGATGCTAGTAATGAATTTCTATTCTAATGTTTTTCTCATTTCTCTGCGGTCTTCCACCAGTCTCTAGAGCAGGACCAGATGTCTCTACAGAGGATGAAGAAAATTGTAAAAGCCATCCACAACTCTGGACTCAGTGAGTACAGTCTTATTTTTTGGAACTTTGTGTTCCTCTTGTTTGCTGAATTATTTCATCTAGTACAGTGCTTCTCAACCTTTTTAACTCCAAGACTTTTCATTGTCCACAGCAATATGTGAAGGCCCAATACTCCTAGTTTCTATAAATTAAATTGCAGGATTCCAGACCTTTTAAGAGCTGAATGTTCTTCAGGGATCCCACCTGTTTGAATGAAGATTATGAAGGATAATGAATAATATTTTTTACACACAGTTTCTACCAAATGAAATATGTTAGAGATTGGCAATACTACAAAAAGATGTATATTTGATGATAAAAGTTTTGTCACACCTTATTTTAAGGTCCAGTTCTCACTATTAACAAATCATTAACTATAACTTTTACCTCAATAAAGTCCAAATTTGCTGCTTATTAATAGTTAGTAAGGTTGTTGTTAAGTTTAGGTATAAGATAGGATTAAATTATATGTGCTTTATGTGTACTAATAAACAGCCAATTATGTTAATAATAGGCCTGTTAATAAGCAACTATTTAATAGTGAGAAATGGTCTCTAAAGTGTTACTAATTAGTAGATTAATAAAGATTTGACTAATTTACATTACTTTTTCAGGTCTAGATGTCACACTTTTAAAATTACTCCCATGTGGGATCCCTGATTCTTCAAAAAAAAAAATGTTGAGCAAGTAAATAAAAAAAGATTTTCTTTACTTGTCTTACCTGATTTTAATGCTTGTTTTGTCATATTTTAAAACATTTTAAGTCGTCTTGAGGCACCCTTGGAAGTTTGCTGATGTCTCTTGGTGGACCCCAGCCACTGGTTGAAAATCACTGGTCTAGTACATAAGCAAAAATATGTATTCTGGGAGCTTCGAATAATATGAGGTGGCTTTTTAGAGATCTTCAGGAAGCCTGGTTCACTTAGTATCACTTATTCAAACCTCAGACTGTTACATAAGAGTCAGCTTGTGATGCCATAAAGATGCTTAATTAAACTACAGTAGTCGTTAAAATGAAAATGTAAGATTTGTGAAAAAAGTCTTCCTAAAATAATTGCATTGAGGTCATTCTTACTTTTGCTGTCTCACTCTCTCTGTCACGCAAATGAAAGATGACAGAAATTGGGGCCTAGACTTGCACTGACATTACAACCACTAGAGCAGATTGTGTGTTTTCCTGTTTTTGACACTGGGTCAGAGTGTAGAAAATAACAGCCTCTGAAACTTGCTTCACTGTTTTAATGAACCTCAGAGACCTTAATGACCTTATGCCGTGTTAAACACGCACAGTTTCAGTGCCTTATTCTGTTCACCCTGCACAACGCACATGGCCACTGGTTACACCTCTGTAAGCAGTTTGGCGGCATTTACGCTGAAACTTTATCACATGATAAAATTTTTACTTAAAAAAATAAAAATACATTTTTTTTACCATCAGCATCTTTACCGTGCTGAACTGTCAGGGGGATATCTGTGTTTACATCTGCTCCTCCTCTCTGAAATGAGAAATTGCCCCACAGACCTGGCCAATACACTATTTATAATGTTATGTTGTGCTTACAAAAGTCCTGACTGGAATGATCATGGTTTCTGGGAAACATGTCTCAGATCTGCCTGCTTCTCATTTCTGAGGGCGCATGCCCCATTTCTCAATTCTGTGAGTCACAGTTCAGTTAAATGCAAAGGAGACCCTACGTTTTATCATCTCCCCCCTCGTCGTCACTCGCTCTCTCTTTCTCTCTCTTTCTTTTAACTGAAATCAGATGTCTCATTCCGGTAACACTACTATTGAGGGGCCTCAATTTCCTGCCACTGTGTGTTTGTGGCAGCTGTTGACCGTGGACTAAATGTTGCTGAAGACATGTAAACACAAACACAGATGTGGCAGATGCTTTAAAGTATTGATATAGGGTCAGTTTTCTAAAAACCCAGGAACAGGATCCGCTTTCTGGTTCATTTGAGCTTCACATATCATCTCTGGAACAGATCAGGGTCTCAAACATGTCAAGAAATTAATTAACAATACAAATTAAAAGTGTCTGAAAGTGCTCACAGATGCCTGTTGAGAAAATAAAACCAGATCAGGGAAGGTAGGTCCTTAGAGTGCTTGGCGCCTGCGAGTGAAATGCAGTATTGTTTGAGCTGAACTGACTCACTGGGAAAAACACTGTTGATTTAAGTCCACAGAAGAGGAAGTATCAGCTAGACGTTCGATTAACTAACTCCCGAAAAAAAATCCCCCCCCCCTATTTTTGTCGTTAAGTTGTTTGTCCTCTCTTAAAAAACGGAACTCAACCCAAAACCAGATAATGCAAGTTTATTTATTAAGGAAGTGATCTTACATTTCCACAATCTCTAGAGTCTAGACCGATATCCTGATAGATATCAATATGCTGACATGAGGATTTCTCCTGTTTATGTTTAATGTGCTTTTGACACTACATAGTAATTTATTCAGGTGAAATGGGATCAGGACACAATGCATGTGATGCACCCAAGTAGTATGTGTTCCTTAATCAAGTCCTTTGTTTTTCCTGGAACAGTTTCCTGATCAACCAATCAAAGCCTTAACCCAACCCCTAGAATGAGAGGGCAATGATTACTTGATAGGAATGTTGTTTATGAAAAAACAGAGAATTTCAATCCAGGAAAATGTGTCCATCATGTTTAGCTATAGCACTGTATGCTAATTCCAGGGATGCTCCCTTGGAAAGTCCAGCATGTGCTCCCACAAATACTTGTGATCATTATAAGTGAGGATGGTTTGGCTTTGCTTTGGCTCTTATCTAAGTGTACCCATTTATTTTGTAGCTGTGGAGCTGAGAGTTCTTTGATCTGTAGTACAGTCTGAGCCTGTGGTGATGTTAGTTTTCTTGCCAGGAACTCACTGTGCTTCAGCTGGTATCATTTTCACTGTATCACAAAATCCTGTTTTCCTCTATTCATTTGATCATGTGGTGAGGTTTGCAAGATCACACGGTTTCAGTAGATGGATAAAGGTTATCATGTTTAAAAATTACTGCTGTACAAAAAAAAATATTTTAATGAAATCTAAATCCATATTCTTACTATATTTTTTCCATTGCTGTTCAAGAGTTTGGTGTAAGATTTTGTTTTTTAAATAAATGAATATTCAGCAAGGATGCATTAAATTGATAAAGTCATATAAAGACATTTTATAATGTTAGAAAATATTTATATTTCAAATCAATCCTTTTGAATTTTGAAGTATCTTGAAAAAATCAGTTCAGTTTCCACAAAAATATTAACCGGCACAGCTGTTTTCAATATTGATAATAAGAAATGTTCCTGGAGCACCAAATCAGCATACTAGAATGATTTCTGAAGGATCATGTGACACTAAAGACTAAACGCTGATGAAAATGAAGCTTTGCCATTACTGGAATAAACTACATTTCAAAATAGAAAACCGTTATTTTAAATGCTAATAATATTTCACAATATTACTGAGCAAATGCAGTACATACACTGACTGTATTTCAGACTGAACTATAGAGGCTTTTCACAATCCTGTCAATTCCTGATTGATAAAATCAAGTAGCCTACATTTGTTTTCATTGAATATCCTGTTTCTCATGGAAATGTGTAACATTACAGAAGAAAAGTGGACTCCAAACAGTTTTGTATTGATTTCTAGTTTCTCCGGTTATCTGCAGAAAGGTCACAGGATTGTCTTGTTTTTGATTGTGTGATGGTGTGTTTCCAGATCATGTGGAGAGTAAGGAACAGTACACAGAGGTTCTGGAGAATCTGGGGAACAGTCACCTAACGCAGGATAACAACGAGATATCCACAGGCTTCCTGAACCTGGCTGTGTTCACGCGAGAGATCACTGCACTCTTCAAAAACCTGGTGAGCAGGACACCATTCTGAAACTACAAATACAAATACAAACGCAATAAAAGGGACATAAAGCTGAATATTGTTTTTTTATCCCAATTAAGACCAGTTTCTTTCAGCAGAGAAAGCAGACATATTGTAGTCAAGTATTCAAGTCAAGTGTTAGTTTCTAATTTCTAACCCCAAATTTAGCTTCCAGGTGAGGCATAAAGTTCAGTGAAGCGTAAATGTTAATTACCTGAATAATTCAAGGCCAACATGAATATTTTTCCACCTTTGAGAGGAAACTATTCAAGTACTGTCTGCCCTGCCAGTATTATTATTCAAAAAGCACCTTTGGGTGTGTGCCTGTGTGGCTTGTCTTCTGGATATATTTCTGAATAAGAAACAGCAGACTTCCAGCTGTACAAAATACACATGGGACTGGGAGAGGTAGTTTTGTGTGTGTGTGTGTGTGTGTGTGTGTCAGCAGGGGTTCAACAGCTGCAGGCGAGGGCCCCTCAAACCACAGCGCCCAGAACCCTCCCACTGATAGTTTCTATGGTGATGGTAATTTATACCAGACCCGAGAGCATGAGTGGATAGCGTCTGACCACTGAGCTGTCAATCAAACGATCACCAGGGACAGGAACCACAGCTTAAAAAATACAACAGAATCTCTGCTAAGAAAATAAACTTTAGATTTAGCGTCCTTGTGTGGAGGCTAAACTTTCCCTCAGAGTCAAGCCCATTTTTCATATTCATGAAGACTTATATTTATAACATCCATTTTTCAAGGTTATAAATCCATATCCAGCACCATTATGAGGTGACTCCCATGATTACTTTTCATTTATACTTTTGTGTAGCACAATATGTTTTTAATGTTTTGTGTGAAAGTGTTTACTTGGGTTTGAGTATCTTTTTTTTTTCTTTTTTAGTGGTCAAGCAAGGTGTTTTTTATCATTCAGTACCAATGCCTGTCTCTATACCGCACAGTGGCTGTATATAATAAATATACATAATATAATGACATTGTATATAATGTTATATATTATGTCATTATATATTATTATATATAATGACATAATATATAATATAATAAACACACTAATAAAAAAAATTAACAATGCTGTCAGTACATTTAAAAATGACATTTAAATGGGAAATATGTCCGAAAGGCTGTCCTTTGTTTTAAATGATTCGGTCTGATTCTTCTTTCGTCCTGCAGTGGGTTTTTTCTCGCACATTCTTTCCTAAGGAAGATTTATACTTGCTCAGCACTTTTATGCATTTGTCCAAGGAGAAATCCCAAACAGAGTTTTACCTTTTGCAATTTTATAATGCGGATTTATGGTTTGCGAGCATTTGTACATCCAGACTAGGCTTTATAGGGAGGGTTATGCCTTGCAGGGTAAAAATGTGAGCACTCACTTTGAAAAGTGAGTTAGAGTTTACATTAACATTTGCACTATGATCTGGCTGACTTTCAGATGTTGTTTGTAGTTTCTTTTTGGTGTATGTCTCGGTTACATTATTTCTACATACCTGTTTGTTCTCGAGTGTGTGTCTGCCTGAATTTATGTGTTCTTTCTGATGGTTCTTTAGGTGCAAAACCTGAACAACATAATTTCTTTCCCTCTGGAGAACGTGCTAAAGACTGAGCTGAGAGACAGCAGGCTGGTGAGTGAGACAAACACCTGTGTCACACTGTCGTCATACTAGACTCAAACGTCACATTAAACCCCAATTGAACTGATAATTGAACTCAATTAAAGAGTTGATAAAGCTAAGGAAGTCACATTCATCCCTTTTAAAGAGTCAACAGTGCGTCATGTTGTTTTGTAACAAGGTTTGACAAGTAGCTTGTTTGGGGTTATTGTGTTTTCGAATGTCAGAAACGCAATAACTGCACCACACCTTTCTTTGAGTTTAACCGGTATGATGAGTGGAGACATATTGCAGGGCTCTGAGATTGAGTTTTGATACACACCCTGATATTATTACTTGCACAATATTAATTGTCCACAATGAGGTGTCCTTTGTTATTGCATCACGCTTTTATGGCGACACAGTGTAAACTTTTTTTAATGTGTGTTTGTCTGTGTGTATATGCACAAAATTCTTTATTCTTATATTGTATTATATTTTATATTTTCTCTCAGGAGCTGAAAAAACAGATGGAGAAAAGCTGGAAGGATTATGATGCTAAAATGTGAGTTTCAGAGTCAAATTGTTCTCCTGGTACACAACTTCCTATAATATTTAATTCAAGACCACCACTTGGCTTGTCTAAAAGACAAGTCCACCAGCAAAACTAGTGTCTCATTATGTTCTTTTCTCTTTTTCTTCATTCATTTTCACTTCGGCTTTTCAGAGGCAAGCTGGAGAAAGAAAGGAGAGAGAAACAGAAACAGCATGGGTTGATTCGGTTGGAATCAACAGACACGGCAGAGGACATGGAAAGAGAAAGAAGGAACTTCCAGCTGCAGATGTGTGAGGTATAAGAGGCCGTATGAGGGCGGCCAGTTAACAGACTTATGAAACGTGTGCAAAATGAACCTGACCAAGACCACATTGTGTGAGCGTCTCATTGAGAATGTGTGTCTTAGCAAGTCATTCCTGGGTTACCTCAGATTGTTAACCTCTCTGCGGTATTAAGCATATTCTTTGTAAATTCAGTAAGTGTGTGGCAGTGTGTGAAGTCACCTAAAACCAAAAGGCTTTGGGGTGTTTTTGAGAGAGGCACTCTTGTTTGAGGCCACATTGTGTTCATGTGTGGTTATTGATGACCTCACTCCACATGTCTGTGGCGATATGTCCAAGTTCCATATACTGTGTGCGTGGCAGTTAGCAGGACTTGGGAAATTTGGGCTACGCCGCTTGAACCCAGCTGAGGTAATAGAAAGAATAAGGAAAGAAGGATGAAGTGGAGGAATAATGAAAGAGAGGGGGATTTTCAGTGTCCTACAGTGCTCCCTTTCCCAGCCGCAGAGCTCCAGATGTCTCCACTTTGCTCTCTTTTTATAGTGGAGACATGCGTTATTTCTTCCAAACCTGACCGACCATGTGACCATAATTAACTGGAAAGTTCCTGTATCCATATATGCATAGAGTAAATTTTCATTTATTTGAACAGATTGCTTAGATACAGAATGTTCAGAAACTTAAGCAGCATTTGATCCTCAGTGGCTCCTTTCACCTTTTTTAATCTACAAAAAGACGTTTACTCATGCTTATGCATCCACTACACAATTATCTGTGAAATCTGACAGCCCAAAGTCTGCACACTGGTTTTGGCAACTAGCATTGACTCCTCCAGAATGCAAATCATTGCAAAGAAGTTGTGTAGTGCATTTTACCCTTTAATTCATGTTTGTTGTGGATTCATCTGCTTTAGCTTTGTGCTGAGTCACAATGTTGGGACACAATAGTGGGATTGACCTTTGACTGTTGACCTTTGATGAATGACCGACTTTTTTTTCTCTCTCCCCCTCTCTCTCTGATTTGATAGTATTTACTGAAGATTCAGGAGCTGAAAGTTCGTCAAGGTCCAGATCTACTGCAGAGCCTGATTAAGTACTTTCAAGCCCAACTTAAGTAAGTCTAAACCAAATTAAGATACTCTAGAAGCACCAGCTTCCTTTTCAGTTGCAGATTTAACCTAAGTTGGTTTTAGTACAAAACTATGCTTTTCACATTACACTTAAGTCTGGGTTAAGGCCCCTTATAAGACTGGGTTCAGCATATGAATCTCAAAAGAATTTGAATAACTGTACAGTGAAGATTTAATCCTGCTAATCATTCAACAACTGTGTCTATGTTGATTGTGATCTCTGTGGCTTTGTGGGTGTGTGTATTGATGTCACTTACATTTGAGATGGCTAAACACTGCGATTGTGTTTTCTCAGTTTTTTCCAGGATGGACTGAAGGCTGCAGAGCATCTGGGTCCATTTGTGGAGAAGTTAGCAGCCTCTGTACATACGGTAATAGACTTGTCAATCCCAGTATCTTTGTAGATAGAATAACATACATATTCTAGTCTCCACACTTGAAAAAGTGTTACATAAATTAAAATGCATTTTAATATATTCATAAATTTCATACATTTTTGCTGTGGATTGTAAATGGGAAGCTCTAACTGGATGGTTTGTTTTCTTAGATTTATTAGAGAGATGATAAGCAGACATAATGGCTTATCTTGTTTTTGTTTGTTTTCTTTTTGTGATGCAGAAAGTCCGACCATGTGCGCAGACACATACACACCTTCAGTGTTTTGAAACTATCTCGCTTCTCATGTTAGTCATGACCTGGCGTAGTGTTAATATGATGAAATAAGACTCTTCAAACTCCATTCGAGGAAGATTTATCATTGACACTTTATCATTGATTTTACATGTCTAGTCTGGCTGAGACAGTTAGTTTGAAGGACTAACTTTCTACAGAATTTCTACTGATTTCTACTGAATATCATGTATATCTTTTTTTGCACACACATTAGCTTTGTTAAAAAATCTAGTCAGCAGCCTATCTTAACAGCATTTTAATACAGCTTCAAAAAGTGTTGCCACCTTTTTCCTCTTTTAAAGTCTGATTGCATGTATCTTTTGAAGAGAAAGCAATCCCAAAATGATTAATGATTAATGAAAGAATAAAATAATCAAAATGAAGGATGAGTACTGAAAAATATGAATAAAACAGTTTAATATGTTACATATATGTGCTAGGTAGCTAATTAAAGTGTACCGTTTAGCAACATGTTAACGGAATGCTATGTTGCTTGTATTATTCCTTTGCATAGACATATGACACACAGAGTTGCAAAAGTCTATTTCATGATGGTTAGGATACTCCCTTAGAAACCCGCTTCCTATGTAAGCAGCAGATAGCGAGGAAACTTAGAAAGTTTTGTACCCAAGCTATTATATTGATTGCATCTAGATTCTTAGATTTGTCTCACTTCATTCTCCCTAATAAGTAAACCAAAAGCTGTTTTAAAACATTATATTCAGTATTTATCAGTTTATGTTTCCCAGCAGCATTATTACTCTTTCTGCAAGTCTTGTCTGGTCATGGTTGTATAGAGATTTGATACGGTCTAGAGTGAATATCACACAACAATAATAATGGTGTTCATTAAATGATCTTTTTTGTATCAAAGTTTAATTTAGTTGATACTATGAGTAGAAGGCAGGATAGGGCATGTGGAATTGGTGTTGAGATGACCATGTTTTATAACAGAACTGGTTCGGGTAATGTTTCTAAAGTGACATTTCTCCCGTTTCAACTTGCTCTCTTTTGATCATAACGCATCAGCATTTGGCACATAAATGGAAATGAAACTCAAAAATGAAACAACCACAATCTAGCTTTCCAAAAGGAATAATTTCCTTTTAAAAAGTACTATGGAAACTGGTTGAAGAAATTGCTGGAATTTTGTACTGGGGGGCCAAAGCTATAATTTAAACAGGCTTTGAGTACTTCTGGCTGTGTTGGTTTGGTCCTGGGCTTGATTACAAAATGGAGGGACGTGTTCCAGTTTAAGCCTGTAAACTGCTCAGTTATCAAATGTATTTTTGTTTATGTGTATAGCTTATGTTAACTATTCACAAGACCAGTCACATTGTGTTGCACAAAAACAAGCCCCATATCACTTTACTGTGATTGTTCACAGGTTCGTCATGAGCAGGATGAAGAAGTAAAGCAGCTCTCTCAATTGCGTGACTCACTCAGAACACAACTACAGGTTGATGGCAAAGAGGTAATATCCAAAATAAACACAACTCCCAGAATGCACAACTTCTAGCTCAAAGTAATGCATTTTCTTCACAAGATGGACTGAAAAAGAGCTCATCTGTGGCCATAATTGGCATTAAAGACTCTATTTCAGCAAGCTCAGAGTTGATAATGATTATGATGACCGTTATAATAATAAATGTTGTTCTGTCTTCACAGGATTTTCTAAACAGGAAGAACTCTGGCCATGGATATAGCATCCACCAACCACAAGGCAATAAGAAATATGGCACAGAGAAATCTGGATTCCTTCTTAAGAAGAGCGATGGGTGAGTTAAACATTGCTGTCTACTTCCCCAAGTTGAGAAGGTCACCAATCCCCCAAAAACAACAACAGACCAACTGTTTATTTTTATTACCTGGGTTTATTCAAGGTTTTCCAGACATGATGCAGTATTCAGCTCCTGTTTGCTTTTAGTCACATGGGGTGAGTGTGTGTTTCTCAGGAAACACTCTCCACACTGCTCTGTGAATGTAATGATATATATGCCCTCTTCTTAAACTGGAAGCAGAATAAATTAAGTGAGTTATAATATCCTGACAATCGTACACCACAGATAGTTAGCAGCATAAAGCATCAGTCTGAGCTTTGTGATTCCAGGCTCACAGCTGAGAGTGTGTGTATGTGTGTTTGTCACAGTGTTCCTCTCACGCAGATGTTTTCTATTAAATGTGGTTTAGTCTCTTACTGCACTAGAGTCTTACTTGCACTCTCTTAAAATCTCTAAGGCCAACCTACAGCTCACAAAACACACACATGCCCACATAGACTACTTAGGTTTTGATCAGTGCATCAGAATAAACATGTCAGTGCCATTTTTGTTGTCAGTAAATTACTGAATGTAACTTCACTAGAGAGCTACTGAATCAGTACAGTTAACAATTGGCTACTAGTTATTTCTGCTTCTCAAATCAAATTATATAAATCTTGATGCCAAGGACCCCTGAATATGATCATTTTATCTCTGTGAAAAAATAATAGTTAAAAGTAAAACATATTTTAACCCTTTAGTATGGAGGTATTATGCTAATACTGATGAATACTGAATGTGGATTGTTAGGGTTTTTCCATGATCTTTGTGTTTTAGGATCAGAAAGGTTTGGCAGAAGAGGAAGTGTGGGGTAAAATATGGCTGTCTCACCATTTCACACAGCACGGTGAGATTTGAGAAAGACAAACACCTTCCAGTTACACATACTTCATTATATTACAGCTTGATTGTTTTGCTTACATGTCTGTGTGCGCCAAGCTTCAGTGTTTTAGCAACCATTAACTTTATGTAAGCTTTTGCTCACATCTTTAGCATTAATCCTGCACACAGCATAAATGCAAGTGAGATTTGTTTGCATTTGATTTAGTGAGTGACCACATATGTGATGAGTATGCACTTTAAACATGTTATGACTCTTCTCTAACTCTCAGATCAACAGACCACCCGCAAAGCTCAACCTCTTGACGTGTCAGGTGCGGCCCAACCCTGAGGAAAAGAGAACGTTTGATTTAGTTACACGTACGTTGTCCTCTGACCTTTGACCCTTTTCATCTCTGCTGTAGTATGAAGAAAAGGACTATGTTTGGAATGGGAAACTAGCATGCTAATGATTGAATAGTGTGTGGTACACACTGTATACTGCCTACTAATTTTTAGAAATAAGTGAAACAGAAGGCAATGTACGTTATAAGCAGTAGTATGCTACACTGCTGTCACACAATTTTATATATAGACTTTATAATTCAGTGCTGCTGGTGTAACTGACCGGTATGTGATGCATTCAGGGAAATCTGATGTGAAATACAGTATGTGAACCAGGTGAGGTGTTTTATGCATATAGGTGTTCAGAAGTATGTAAATACAGTTTGGAGGAATAAGTATGTAGGTGTATGTAGATCATGAAATGCTGATAAGTTGAGTGGCTAGTCCTGACCTGTTTTTTTTCTGTATGTTAGGATGTTTTTTCCATGTTTCCTTTGCATAGAGGCCACCAAGCGCATACTATTTATCTCTTTTATCTCTCTCTCTGTCCTTGCAGACAATCGCACATACCATTTCCAGGCTGAGGACGAGCAAGAATGCATGATGTAAGTGCAGAAATTTGTACGCTCACACACACCCGTATACATAGAAATCTTTATTATATACTGCAAAGCGGCATGAACAGACATGCAGGAGAGAGCAGGTTCAAAACCTGCTTCTAGAGAGGAGAGAGAATAAAATGGAAAGAGTAAGATAAAGAAAGACATTGAAATGTTAAAGATACAACGGATGTATCTGAAAGGTCACCTATTGAGATGAATGCACGTCTTTGTTTTTGTAATCCCTTCATTTGTCTTCTTGCAGATGGGTTTCTGTGCTGCAAAACAGTAAGGAGGAGGCCTTGAACACGGCTCTCGGAGGAGATCAGCTCCAGTTCCAGGACAGTGGTCTGCAGGAGCTTGTCCGAGCTGTGATCTCAGGCCTGAGAAACCTGCCAGGCAATGAGGCCTGCTGTGACTGTGGAGCTCCAGGTCTCAAAAAGAGGATCCTAATGCATTTAAATACTGTTAGAGGCCATTCACACAGAATGCATTTTGCATTCCATGCATTCCCTTTTTTTTTATGAAAATATGCTAGAGAGGCCTGCTGTGACTGTGGGCTCCAGGGTCTCAAAAAGAGGATCCTAATGCATTTAAATACTGTTAGAGGCCATTCACACAGAATGCATTTTGCATTCCATGCATTCCCTTTTTTTTATGAAAATATGCTAGATGGGTGTTTGACCACTGTCTTTTTAATTTTAAGTGCAAAAATGCATTCTGTGAGAATGACCTCAAATACAGAAATCCTATGTGTTATGTTATTCTAAATCAAATCAAAATGATGATTAGAGAGAGACATTTAATTTAAGCCTTAAATAGTTTTGAATGTGTGTTTCTTACACAACTATTTAGATCAATGAAATATTTAAGCAATGCATAACACTATGTCTGTTCCCAAAAATTGCTGTATCGTCTTTATGAAGAGCTTCTAAAAAACACTTTATTGGTCAGTGAAGAGTGGCAAAGAAATGTTTGAATGATGTGTGTTGTGCTCTTTAGAACCCACTTGGCTCTCCACTAACCTGGGCATTCTCACCTGTATCGAGTGTTCAGGAATCCATCGTGAGCTTGGAGTACATCACTCACGAATTCAGTCTCTCACTCTTGACGTACTGAGCACATCTGAGCTCCTGGTAAACACACACACACACACGTCATAAAATTTAGGACAGTGTGATGTCATAAAATTTAAAAAGATAATTCAGCTCCATTCATTATACAGTCCATTACCTTCTGCACATTTACTGTTGTTCTTTTTGTGTGGTACGTATCACATTTATCTTGAACTTTTTACCCATAATCCACTGGGACTGAGTCAGCATTTACTCACATGTGTCTCGCTCACATCTGTAAATGTTTATATAAACTTTTTACCTCTGACAGTAAAGCAGTGCAAGTGCTCCTGCACACGAGTGTTATTTATTAGTTAGTTACTTGTTGTCAGTTAGATTACAGATAAATGACCTAACATAAAGCTGGATGCATATGTTCAGTGTTTTACTGCAAACATCCGTTTATCAGTTGTGTTTTGGTTCACAGTTGGCAGTGAGCATTGGAAACGCCAAGTTTAATGACATCATGGAAATTAACATGCCCAGTGATGCAGTCAAGCCCCTTCCAAAAAGTGACATGTGAGTCCTATTGTGCAGTCTTTTTTCGCTTTTAGCGCAGACTTTTTTTTTTTTTTTTTACCTCATTTTGGATTTTTTTGCACATCTCAGGACAGCGAGGAAGGAGTACATTGTAGCGAAGTATGCAGAGCGACGCTACATCCTCCCAAAAGAACACTCTGAAGCGTATCATGTGTATGACACTGTGAGGAACAAAGATCTCACGTCACTGCTACAGCTCTATGCAGAGGGAGAGGACCTGTCTAAACCAGTGGCCACACCTGAAGGACAAGTGAGATCCTCAATACAACCATATACACAAACACCACAACCACAATGATGATAACAAAAACATCAAGGCGTATAAACATGCTGTCACTCATGCGTTTCACATTTCTTGAAATGTTTAGAGCTTTCAAAGGTATCAATCCATCACATCAGAGACTTCCTGTGGTTTAGTCAAATAGATGTTTAATTTTTCTTGATAATTTTGAACTGTATAAGTAAAAATGAGACATCTGTGTGGTTATACGTCATTAATCACACATCATTCACACACTCTCTCTCTCTGTAATTCTGTATTTCCTCTCTTTTTTCTCTCTCTAATCAGATTTCCCTCTCCTCAGCCCACTCAGGAAGTGAACACAAGCTGTGTAATGACTGCTGTACTTGTGTTTGAGTTTGTTTTGTGTATGTGTGTGTTATTTGGCCATGGTCTCAGAATAGAGACAGAGTTTGACTTGAATGATTCAGTGACTGAATCACCAACATTTTTATTTTAACACACACGCGTATACTCACAAGTAGAGAATTGTAGTACGCCAACTCGCAGACACTAATTCATTAATCTTCTCCGTCACTCTTCATCCAGTCTGCTGTGATTTATTGGACTGGTGAATAACAGTACGTTTGTTTCACCGAGACAGTGGCTGGTTGGCAGCAGCCAGTAGCTTTAACTTGTTCTCTTCTGTGTCTAACAGGACCTGAAGGAGACCGGTCTTCACTTAGCTGTGCGCATATCTGAGAAGACTTCTCTGGCTCTGGTGGATTTTCTAGCTCAGAACTGGTGAGAGAAATCTGCTGTTGTCACGGATCTGTCAGTACATGGTAGGATGTCTATCAGCTGACCGCTTTGTGTTTGTGTTTCTCAGTGGCTGCCTGGAAAAGAAGACAGCAGAAGGAAACACAGCGCTTCATTACTGTGCATTATACAACAAACCAGAGTGCTTGAAACTTCTGCTCAAAGCAAAGGCGGTTTTACACACAGGTATACAGTAATCACATACATGCAAATTCAGCTATAAAAATTATGGATAGATGTATGGATGCATACATAGATGTATAAACAGACTATGACAGACTGAGTTCAACTTGTATACTTACTGATAGATAGATAGATAGATAGATAGAAAAACAGACAAATAAATGGATCAATCTGTCCTGATTTTGACTCTTCCATTGTTCTGATTGTCCTGTAGTGAACTCAGCGGGTGAGACGGCTCTAGACATTGCCAAGAGACTGCAGCACATGCTGTGTGTCGAACTGGTGAGTATCACATAATGCACAAAGCTTTTATTGACTTTGTGTGTATGTGAGCACATGTTTGTAGAGAGATTATTCCTAGGTTGAACTTTATCCTGTTTAATATCCTGAAGTCTCATATGACAGTGTTTTCATAAGGAACTTCCCTTGTCCTTCCCTTGCATATAATAATATCATATAAAACAAACCTAGTAGCTGTTATAAATATGAATGTCTCCAAATAAACAATGAGGGATCATCAAACCACTGACTCTTTACAGTATGAAGACAACAAACAAATAAATAAAAAATAGAGCTGGATTTGAATCTATCTAATAGTGTGATATCTGTCAGTCTGGTCAAAAGTGAGTCAGTGAATTGGCTGTTAATTTCTTATATTTTATTTGTGTGCATGTTTAGCTGGAATTGGCCCACAGTGGGAAGTTCAACTCTCAGATCCATGTTGAATACACATGGGAGACGCCACAGGACATGTATGACAGTGAAGATGATCTGGACGAAAGGGTCTGTAACAAGATTAACTATTTCTTAATACAGTATATGCATTTTCAACATATGTAAAGTGGTATCTGAGTCTGTGACCACTGGTGAAAATGTTTCTCTGTTTTGCATTTTTCTAATTTAATAATAATAATAATAAAATAATTTATTTTATGCCATAATGTTTCTTTGTTTTAGAATTTATAGAATCATAATGATAAATCAGTGCACAGGTTCAGCAATATGAAATTGATGTTTTATTTATATATATATATATATATATATATATATATATATATAGGGGCATTATGAATATATGAGTTTATGAGTCTATGGATGCTCATAAATAAAAGTATAAAAGTCTCTGTTTTGACTAAATATGTGAAATATAACGTTCAATAACTATTTGTTTAGGTAAGTCCCCATCCTAAGGGCTCACGTTCTCCGCTGCCCCTTACTGGCAGCAATAGGCACTGCTTGGCTGCATGGAATTTAAATAAAAGCAGTCCGGCCAGGACCTATGAGAACATTGACTTCCTATATCGAAATCCACCCAACAACAGCGCCCCCACTAATGGCTCCATGCCTCCTCCCCTGCCAGCTAAAGCAATACAAAGAGGTGAGATACTGTTTAAGTCTGGAATTTTGTATACCCCAAAAAAGCTTGTGCAGGTTTGACCTGATAAACAAAAGCTAAGGAATGATCTGGCATTTAGATGTTCTCTAAGAAGCTGAAATTAGGTCCTTTGCAAATGTGAACTGTGTAGAAACCCCGCAGGTTTATTCCAGACAATCCACAGCAAGGTCAAAGATAATTTGTGTCCCTGCAGGCCGTTCAGATCCTCAGATCTCGGGTTCCATTCCAGAGACTCACGCCCCCTACCGCCAGAGTTCCCACCCCACCAGCTGCTTTCAGAGAATCAGCACTTCATCCCCTGTGACGGAGTCCCCTGGACCAACACCTTCACGCTCTCATAGTACTGGAGGGTCAAAGGGACATAGACAGACGGTGTACTGGGAGGGACAATCTTTCTCAGGGGTCGAGGGCAAAAATCACTCTACCTCACCACAGAGTCAGAGAGGACCTGTCAGGTTAGTCACTGTGGTCCTATGCTGCATTTATCTTCCAAGGCCAGAGGTTTCCTCATTATTTTACTTAATGATTTGTATTGTAATTTTTTTGTATGTTATTATATTTAAAAACATAACCACTAGTTAGGAGTTGCTGGAAAAATGTATTATGTCACAATACATATTTTTATGATTTTTGAGCTATAATTTCAGTATTACTATTGTTAACAATAGTAATGGTAAAATAGTAGCATTCACTAAAATCTGAATTTTTGAATACGTGTGTAGTATTGTGAGTTATCGTCGTAAAAATATTACATGTGTCTGCAGTTCAGAGAAGACGACCTCATATCGCCGCACGAGCAGCGGCAGTCAAGGAAATAGTTTGGCCCCATCTCCAGGGTGTGCAGGCAGTCAGGAGGAACTCTACTGCAGTCCAGTGGGCGGGGCTCCCAGTCCTGCACCTCCGCCAGCGAATGCTAACAACAGTGCCACAGTGCCAATCATACTGCCGCCACCTCGCTCACGCAAAAATGCCATGGTAACATGCCATCCTATGATCTTTATTTTGAGATGTTTTTTCAAATATCTTCCTGATGATTACATAGTATGTTTACTTATATTTTTTGCAGTTTGTTTTTCCTTTATTTGTGAACATGAATTTAAGGGCTGGAATACACCACAACTTCTGCCCAGATTTTTCTCCAATTTGCAATCTGGAGAAGTTGACATTAGTTGTCAAAAGTCATAGCCGGTCTGCAGATTTTGGACAGTCAGATTTGATTGATTTCACAGAAGATATACGCATAGTGTGTGACAGGCACAGACTTTGATTTTTAGCTTTAGACTCTGATTCCATCCAGTCTTAGAATATCAAGCATATTTAATATTTTGAGCTGATTTTAGAATGCATGTTGTTTTCATTTGTCATGAGTCTCCTAGCAATGAGGCTCATTTCTGCAGGAGTCCGTTGTGTTTGGAACCACTTAAAATCCTCAGTCTTTTAGTGTATGATGCCCATTTTTTTTTCTGTAACCTTTTCTGACATGTGTATGATTCCTAGTAGGGATGTAGCATCTTGATGCATAGCCAACGATATGATACATTAAAGATACATAGCTACTGATGCAAAGCGATACGATTCACCTCTATATGATGCAGTGTGAACCGATTTCGATTCAGTACAATACTATGCAATGGAAAAAAAAATATGATGCTATGCAATTCAGTATGGTATAGATAGTTCGTTTTTATTTCCTTGGTTCAGACAGACAGACAGACATGTTAATCTGCATTCTATGTGACTCGAGACACGCCTCAGTCTCTGTAGTGTTGTGATGCATCATATTCACGTAGCAGCAGTGGTGATGAGAGAACACACTTGAGTTTAGTGAGGAGAAATCAATCTACATATAAAATATTGGTCACAAATTATTGGTCACTTTCTAAATAAAAGTATAGCGCATCTACTAATAATTATATATAAATCGTTTTTTACCAATGCAAAAATGTTAGAGATGATGCATCGTGATACAAATGCCAACTTGTATCCGATGTGCACTTATTTAAATTGATGCATTGCATCGTTAACTTTTATGCCGATGCACCGATGCAAATCTGTGAATCTTACCATCCCTAATGCCCGTTTTAAAACCAGATTTTAGAAATCATACAGTGTGTTCTAGCCTTAACTTGCTAAAGTGTTTATTTTTTGTATGTCTCTCAGATCTCATTAAGGGAGAGACCCAAAAAGGTCAGAGCGTTAGTTGACTGCAGAGCAGTTGGTGCCAATCAGCTGGCTTTCTTTAAGAACGAGGTCATCATAGTGACAGCAACTGATGACCCACACTGGTGGGTAAGTATACAAACTCTCTCACTCTGACACACACACATCCTGTGTTTACCAAGCGTGCTTTTAACAAGCTTTGGAGTATCTGTGAATAAATTTCCTGTAAACAGCTCAAACTGAAGACTTAAACATCTTGCACTCTTTCCCTCCCAGGTGGGCCATATAGAGGGAGAACCATCTAGAAGTGGCTCTTTTCCAGTCAACTATGTCCATAAATTAGGAGAATGAGATGAACCTCCATGATCACTCCCATTACACCACATGGAACTGATCTAGACTGTTGCTTTTATCTTCAGAGCCGCTAGACCTAGAAGCTGTGGAGGCCTGAAATGCACTTAGAAGATGAAAGACTGGAGTTCAGACTCTTCCACAGCATTAGTGTGGATGCTGTAAGATGATCCACTGATCCATTTTTTAGCGCTGCTTATAACATATCGCAGCTGTTTAACTGGACTGAAGGTTTGGCAGGTACATCATGAATGACTGGACTTGGAACAGGCAGAAAATGGATGAAAGCTGACCGGCTTTTGAAACTTCCTGGCTTTGTTGTTTAAACAAACAACATCACTTGTTCTTATTGATATTGGCGTTGAGGCATTTGTACAAACACTTGGACTTTGAGGTCTCTTAAGAGATTGTCGCCCAGACTTTGAGGCACTGGGCTCATTTACTGAAGCTCATCCTGTGGTGAAATCAGTTGCTCAGTGCATGCTGTAAGATGATCCACTGATCCATTTTTTAGCGCTGCTTATAACATATCGCAGCTGTTTAACTGGACTGAAGGTTTGGCAGGTACATCATGAATGACTGGACTTGGAACAGGCAGAAAATGGATGAAAGCTGACCGGCTTTTGAAACTTCCTGGCTTCGTTGTTTAAACAAACAACATCACTTGTTCTTATTGATATTGGCGTTGAGGCATTTGTACAAACACTTGGACTTTGAGGTCTCTTAAGAGATTGTCACCCAGACTTTGAGGCACTGGGCTCATTTACTGAAGCTCATCCTGTGGTGAGTTCAGTTGCTCAGTGCTCTCTGGATTATTTTAATGACATGCCATTAGTTCTGGCTAGACACCAGGTCCTCCAGACAGAGAGATAAAGGATGATGTATTTGGTTTCATCTGTCTCCTCTGCACCGACGTCTCCTATTGCTGCTGATTCCCGGATATCCAGTCCTGCACTGAGAGAACATTCAGAATGAATCCTCCGATGAAACACCAGGATGTTATGTGAATGTTCAATTACAAAAAGTTTTGATTGCAGAATTTCCAAGAAAGTTTACAATTCAGTATTTCAAGCCATACCCCCCCCCCCCCCCCCCACACACACACACAAATCCTGGATTAAAAATTGATCTTTTTGCAAAAGGATTTTGCACACACATGATACTTGTGTGTGTGTGTAAATCCATATTAGTACCTTTTTCCTTTTTTTTTTTTGACAGTCAGCCGTCCATCCAGGATGGGCCTAATGGATGGTTGCCAGCACTCAACTTCTTTACAGATTGAAAATCGCTAGCTCTTAGCCTCTGACTGAGCTGTTGCATTATTGACAGGTGTTATGTCACTGCTGAGGCGGTCAGTGCAGAAAGTTTCAGGTCAGTCTGAAGCAGATGTTCACTGTGATGGTCTGCAAATGAGTACCATTGGATTGCAACATGATGGAAAAGATCTCCTTGGTTGAATGCCATGGTCCATGTGTAAGCCATCATCTAGTACTACTGCCTCCAGTATTCAAAATACCTGCTATGAGGTTTTTACTTCAAAGGTAGCAGTATTAAAACATTTAAATATTTCAAATAATGTTTTAGGAAAGTGTAGAAGTGTGCATAAAATAGTGGAAGCATTTCAGCTGTTTCAATGTTGCTTCATGATGTCAGTTACATTGTGCTCTATAATTAGACACATGTATCTGCTTCTCTGAACTAGTTAAATTTGAAAATGGGAAATTGAATAAATATGTGAAATATGCTGATGCTTAGATAATTGAAATGACTGACCACTGGCGTTTAGTGAACTATTCCCACAAGATTTCTGTTCTAACTGATTCAATCAGATTTATTGACTAGTGACACATATCTAATTTGAGTACATGTACACCAAAGCAAAGCACAGATGTGTGGTACATTCATTTGAAATGTTCTTTGCGTAATACATTCGCTTTAAGAACGCACATCCAAGGAAATACGGTGGAAAACTGACCAGTTACAGGACTTTTTTTTCTTGAACGCAGGAGTCTCGCTCAACTGGAACGATGCTTTACATCTCCGTCTCTGGTGTTTTCTAGTCACAATCACATTAACGTATTTTTCGAGCCGATAATATAACGTTAAAACTATGAAAGTGATTTTTTTAAAACTACATGGGGCCATAGTTTCGTCACTTTACGGTGTCGCAAGGACCGTCTTTATGCAGTAACGCTCCTGTAGCGTAGTGGATGGATAGACGACATGAAGCGGCCCAAGGTCAATTACATTGAAAACAGATGAGAGCATACATATATCTACAGTTCTAGATCGGGGCAAAGTTCGCAGGATTTTGCCCACAAAATGATAAGAGCACACATTATCAACACAGTTTCCGTTTAATTAAGACGATCTTTTTTTACCCCGTTTTAAACATGGATTTCTACGGAGACCGGAACACGACCACCTAAACGGAAGTCTGAATCCATCATAGCGGCCCTAGCCATCGGTTACTCAGGAAAACGGTGGATTAGACTCTCCCATGCTATTAATGTGTATGGTACGGAGAATCACCAAGGTAAGCTTTTTACTCAACTAAACCCAGCCATTGGATCGGGGCTATTATAATGTCATAGCTTTTGTCATTAGGGGTTGATAACATTACGCAAGGACTTGTGTTATGCTAACAACAACGAGTGCTTTACTAATCTTTGTATAAACTGCAAACGAGGTAACAACTAATGGTTGTCCTTTTGCACTAATCTTAGTTATTGATGTTGCAGGTTCTAGGATCTCTTATGCAATTTTAAAAATGGAAAAGCATCCTTAAAACATGTTCAGTTCGACCATGTTTTAAGGATATTTTTTAAAATAGCCTATATATTTTTACTTTAAAATAAGACAAAAAATGATAATTTAATAATAAATTGATAAATTATTATTTTTGCAGATAACTGAAGTGGGTTTAGTCTCTGAACGCGGTTCGGGTGAGAGAGACAGACTCAGGGTCATACTCTAATATAATATGATTTTTCCAAGTTTCTTTTCTGCTGTAAGACACTAGGTAATTGATTTAAAATCAGTCTTAATCCAAGTAAGCATTTGACCTTTGCGTATATAATTGTTAATGTCAGGATGACTGACATTAGTGGTCTGTGTTTCCTCTCATGCTGATGTCTGTCAGATTGCCAGATGGCTCAGGGAAAGGAAAGAGGGTGTTGGTACTGATTTCAGCTGTGCTGGATCAAGTGTTTCTTCCGTTCCTGTTGACCTATCAAATTCTGCTGAGAGACTCGCAGTTTAAAATAGACATAGGCATATTAGTTTCTCTCTTAGGCATAAGATCAGCATTTCCATAGGCAAATATAGTTCATTAAAAAGGTCAGCAAAAGCAATTCTGATATTCAGTATATTATCGATAAATGTACAGAAGCATGTGAAATTGATTTAGTTTAGTTTTTTAAGTTCAGCAAACCACACAAGTAATGTAGTAAAAATGCAGTCATTATTTCAGCATAAAGAGGAAATAAAAATACATAATTTCAGTGTTAGACAAGAGAAAGTTTTTTGAATGTTGAATCTTGTTCTGTGAAACACATAATGAAATAACAGTAATTACAGAATAGGCCATTTTTAAAGATTGTGTATAAAACTTTGAAAAGCACATTAAATACATAAATTCAAAGCATTATACATTATTATTTAATTTCAATAGTGTTCAAAAAATACAGTCAAAGGCAAAAGTTAAGTTTAAAGAGTTTGTGAACCCCATTAAATGTCTTTTTATCAGAAAAGCTTCTCCTTACGGTCACTAAAAATAAAAGCTATTGTAAATAGTTGTTGAGCATTAAGATTACACTAACTTGGAGAAAGTAATTTTACAGTTGAGAAAAGAATTAATGAATCAGCTAATCTAAATAAGTAGATGTGACAACAAAAGCAGGATATCCAACAAAACTGTTTACAAAGATTAGTGTTACCTGATGTAACCTATGGGATATGGCATCATAACTGTATACATGGACACAAGGACAGACTTTACATTCAACCTGCAAGTGGGCCCAGAGAGATCTTTGGGAAAGCTTTTCTTTTAATATCTGTCATAGCAAAACTCATAAAAGGTGCAGTGCAAAAATCAGTGCGTGAGAGAGACTCCATCTGAGGTGTCTTTAAACCACACAGCGTAAGTGAATTACATATGTACAGTAAACGAGATAAGGCATTTGATGAATGTTTAACTCTACATAGCTTTTGAGAAATCGTAGCCTAAAAATCACTAATGCAATGAGAAACCATCCAACGGGTCATCTGGTAGCATTGCTGGAATTCCACAACCAAGAATCCCTTAAAAATGTTACCATAGTACCTTACAGTAGATATTACCACAATGAAACCATGGAAATGCTAGTGCACAATAGTCAAGTTCCAGAAGTAAAAATCCCATTCATTTTCTCTGTAGGAGATTCATTTTGACAGATAAATTATACACCTTTAAAGACAGACCTACTGTGAACTACGAAAGTGTTAATCGATGGTTTATACTTTTGTGGAAGACGTCAGTCTGCATTCTTTCAGCTTATTTTTTAAATAATCCTGTTCAACAGTGAAATTTCTGGTGAAAAACTAAATTACCCAAGATTCCGCAAAGAAATCTTTACCAAACACAGCACTGCGAGAAGCAAATCACACCAAAAGAAAGCCTGCCCATTCCCATGAAGCACTACAAATAAAGCCAGTTTCTCTACATTCTTAAATATGAATATAGCCTAATATGCATATTTTGCAATAAACAAAAAATAAATGTTTCTCTTTATAAAATCAACATCTTTAAGTCAACCATTTATATTTCTTTTTAATTCAATTATGTCATTCAATACTGTAGTTAAAACTATTAAGTACACAGTTTTGTACATTTGTCTTTATAATTTAGTTTATAATGTTGTGATTCACCTTGTAGCTTATTGGTTTGGTTCATGGCTTATAACTCTTAAATGAACACTTAAAAAAAACCTATGGAAAAAAATGAATAGGAATACTTCTGGAACCAAGGTCACTGAAAAAGTGACTCATTCAGTGCTCTGAAATATCAGAGCACTGAATACCACAGCTGACCAATCAGAATCAAGCACTCCAGAGATCTGTGAAATAAATATCATCTTTTGAAACCGTACTACACTTGTTGTTTTGGTTTTACAGTAGTAACATTAATTCTACAAATCAAGATATTTAAACAGAAACTTTAGTTACCAAGGTAATTGTTTGAAGGGGAACCCAGATGGATTCATCACTTCATTCCAACATTAATCAAATCCCCAATAAAATAAGGGAGATCAGCACAACCTTTAAAGGACACCGAGATGTTCTGTCATTAAAGAAGTGTAAGTAGCCCTTGAACTGAGATTCAGCCACTTCTATTCTGTTTGCTTTACGCCTGATCAATATAAATGAATAAAGACTGTGGTCTGCAGGCATCCTGCCCCGTCAAATGACGCAAATCT